CGTACGGGCAAAGAGAAGGCCACGAAGGCTCCCTCCCTCCGAGAAGCGACCGAGAGAAAGAGTTCACGAGTCGAAGGTTAACGAACTCGCCGCGAATTAAAAGGAGGAAAGGAAGCCTGACGTAATCGCGACGCGTAGTCTTTTCACCTCCCGTGGTTGTGGCGGCCGCGTGACAAAACAAACGATCTCGAGAAGAACTAAACGAGACGAACTGCGAGGGAAACATCTGTTCAGGTTTCGAGGTCCAGCCGGTGAAGATGCAACAACAACAATCACTTCGTATCGTGCGTGTGTCACTTTTGTCGGTGGCTGCCTTCGAGACGTTTCTCTTTCCTTTCTTTTCCATTCCCTGTCCCTTTCTCGCTCACGTGCACGGCCGCCGGTTCGACAAAAGCGGGCTTGGCCTACGCGTTGATTATTCAAATGTGTGTGGTACCTGTGCGAAAAAGGAACGTCGTAAAACGCGCGACGCTGGCTGCATTGTCCCATTGAGCCGCAGCTCCTTTTGGTACGTGTGAAAAAGAATGGACAAAGGGAAAATGAATCTTCGTGGTTCTCAGGCGATCGGCAAACGGCCAGACAGACGGATTAACTCGTTTTAAAGGGATCCGAGGGACGCCATGTTGGCCAGTTGCTGGAGAGTCCGTGGCCCAAGAGTTGCGCCTCTCTGCTCCTCACGAACCGGTCTGTTTTCGTTCCGAAACGCACCTACACTCGCGGAGCTTCGTTTTAAAATCCGCTCCGGCTGAACGCTCCGTGCGTTCAAGCAGATATAAACAGGAGGGGGAAGTGGTTTTCGAGTTGCCACGACGGACGCATCGATCCCCCGGCTGCGGGATCCTTCTCTTTCGCTCTTCTCGATCCTTTTTCAAACCACCAGCAAATCGTTGAAAATCCCCTACTACGATAAGTAGGAATTCTAAATTGCTTCTCTTTTTTCTCGCGAAGATCCTCGACGAGGAAATGTTGGCACGATACCGTGATATCGGTAAATTCAAACGGATTACATACGATTGATGCGAATAAACGATTGTCATACGAAACGAATCGTGGCAACGAGGATTGATTACACGGCCGACAACTGCGTCATGAATTGTTAAAATCGTATCAATCACACGGACACGTACATTATCATCAGTGCTGCGACGGAGCCAATAAATCCTCGGTATGTAAATCGCCTCGGATCTCCCTTTCAAGGGTCATTCTGCAAGGGTTAAAGGTCGCAAGTGCCTCACACGCTTGTTCATGCGTACACTAACTCAAGAGCGGAGAATGCAGATCTCAGATTGCGCATCCGTGAAAGTCCTGTTATTCCACATAGTAAACGTTAAAGTCGATTCTCGAGAAATCTTTCTCTCGTTGATACTGCAGCATCCACAAATGTTCTCCGAATTTAACGAATAAAGTATCTTAAAGTGTCTTAAAGTATCCTAAAGTATTACGATTATAATTAATTTCACGCTTAATTGATCTAGCACCAAGAAATCATTTGTTCCAATGTTACAAGTACTTTAACTAGAAACTTTCACGAAATTATAAAATGAGAAACTATTAATACGATATTATGTTATTTTTTGGTGCCATTTTATTAACAGTAACATAACACTGATTTCATAGAGAAAAATAGAAATAACTTGTTTGATAACTTGTGTTAATTTAAATTAATTTAACTTATTGTGATTACGGAGTTATTTAGAAAAAAAAAAGAATGTATACTTCTCAACTTGCCTTCTCAATATTCAAAATTTAAAACAACGATTAAGAAATCAAATTGCAGAAATTTCTGATAAAATGAAAATAATGGAGAATCTGCGAAATCAATGTCTGAAAAATAATGAGCTACATCTTACATGGAATCTCTTTCAGAGAAATAAAACGTATGGCAAAATATTCGAATTGATATGAGAAGAATTTATAAGAAAATTGAAAACTTAAGCATCGTCAGATTGACATGCCCAGTCCTGTGTGACAAACTCTAACTATTGAACTAAAATTAAAAGTCGTTAACCTTGAACAGAAACGTTCCACAGCGACTCAAAACGATTTTCTTCATTTACTTTTTTCCAGATATCCAGGTTCACCGTTAAGTAGTTCAGGTGTCCACTTCAATGGATCGTCGGGCAGCCTAATCCACGTTGATCCACGCTCACATCCTCCGACCATTGTTTACAAACATTCTACGTCACTAGGTATAAGTAAATAGAGCCAGCCAACCTAACGAAAAAAAGGACGAACCACCCTCCGTTCCTCCGAGATTTCCTGAGGGCCAGGCTCCCTTTGTCCGAGCGCCAGATGTTCTCGCGAATAAAACCGATAAAATATCGCAATGTGGCCTCGTCGGCGGCGAAGCGGCAGAGGGACGAGGACAGCCGGTGCAAGGAACAGCGGGACCGAGGGTCGGGAATTAAATAGCACAAAGGGAGGCGAAAAAAGAGGAAGAGGGCCCCAG